CGCCCCGTGCCGCGGCGGGCGCCCTTGCCGCGGCCGCCCCGCCGCGCGCGGCCGCCGCCGCCGCCGAGGCCCCAGTCGTCGTGCGTCACACCGCCCGCGCCGCGGCCCTTGACGGCAGGTGGCGCATGAACGACGCCCGCTGCAGAGCAGGGAAACGCACCGTACAGAGGGATTCGGCATGAAACGTCAGCTGCCTTCAGCAAGCGTGATGTGAACTCAAAAGTCAGGTCGACGGAGATCATCTGCATTGGCATGGAGGCACCACCTCATCCTTCCCGCAGCTGCTCTTCCCCGCACCTGATGCTTTTGCCGGGCTGGACCCCTTGCCGCCGTCGCTGTCGCCGCCGCTGCTTGCATCCGAGTCTGACGCCGTGTCGCTCGCCGCCGCCTCGCTGCCCGACCCTGCCAACAGCCCGAATCTGTTGGTGGGCCCGCCGGTCGCCGCTGGGCCGCTGCTCGGCCCACTGCTCGGCTCGCTGCTCGGCTCGCTGCTGAGTTCGGCGCATTGGCTGCCGCCTGCAGCAGCGGCAGCCCCCGCAGCCGTGCCGCCGGCTGTCACCGCCCCAATCCCCGGCGCCACGGCCTGGCTGACAATGGAGGCGCTCCCCTCCGCCGCAGGCAGCGATCGTCGATCACCGCAGGCCGTCGCGGCGGGGGCGGGGCCGGACTGCTGCCGCGAGGGGGCCTGGCTGCCGCCACCGAGCGGCCCCGGCAGCGGCGACTGCGCGCGGCTGCGACGGCCGCCACTCACCAAGACCGACAGCTTGCCCCACAGCCCGGTGGCCTCGGGCTCTGCCGCGGCCGCCGCCGCCGCCCTGACGCCACCCACGACGGCCGCCTGCAGCGAAGAGCCGACGAGGCCCAGGAGTCCAACCGCGGGCGGCGGCTGGGCGGCCGGCGCATGCGTGGCCGCAGCGCAGGCGTCGGGCGCGCTGGCGTCGCGCGCTGTGGCGTAGGAGGAGACGGTGCTGCTTGCAGCGTTGCGCGGCGTCGGCAGCAATGACCCGCCCGCGCCCCCGCCGGCGGCCCGCGGCGTTGCGGCCGCCGAGGCCGACGCTGAGGCCGCGGCGGCGCGGCAGTCGTCGCGCGCAAGGGCCACTGCGGCCGTGGTTGGCGCGCGCGCGCCGCCGGGACCGGCGCCGGCCCCGACGCCGGCGCGGCCGGTGTCGCTGCGCGGGGTGCTAGCACCGCTGAGGGAACCGCCTGCCTCCGAGGCGCGGTGGCTCAGCGCGCAGCTGCTGGCTCGCGACATCCCCTCCGGCCGCACGCGCACGCCCGCCGCCGCTGCAGCCGCCGCGCTCGCCGCCAAGCGCGCAGCGTGCCGGCCGCGCTCGGCCGCGGACGGTGTCCCGTCCGCAAGCAATGACGCCACCCCCAGCCGTGCGCGGCCCTGAGCCCCCGCCGTGCCCGCACCCGCAGCACCCGCGCCGCTAGCCGCCGCCACTGCCCCCGCCGCGGCGCGCTGCTTCGCCGGCTGGCCGCCGGGGGCCGTGCTGCCGGCACGGCTGCTGGCGCGGCTCTGCGAAAGAGCAGAGCGGAAGCTCTGCTGCGACGAGCGGCCGTCGTCGTCGGCGCTGTGCATGCTGCCAGAGCTGCCGCCGCTGCCGGGAGACCCGCGCCCGCCGGCCTCGCACTCTGAGCTGCCACCTCCTGAGGAGTTGTCGGGCCGCCCCTCCTGCGCGCTGCTGCCAACGAATGCTGCCATGGGCGAGCATGCGCGGGCCGCGCCAGCGCCGCTGGCAGCATTTGTCGCGATACTGTAAGGAGTGTGGCCCTTGAAGATGGCGCCAGCAGTTAAGCCAGCTGAGGGCCCGGCTGAGCCGCCGGCAGCATCGGCCCCATCGCCTTCGCTCGCGCGCGGCTGGGGCCACGCAAACACCCCACGCCGCATGGGAGACAACAATCGCGCGGCGGCGGCAGCCGTCGGTGAGACCGGCACAGGTGTCGCCGCGGATGGCTGCATCTGCGGCGAGCTAGCCTGTGGCGCCGGCATCGGGGCGGTCGGGGCGGCAGATGGCGCCGCAGCTGCTGCTGGCTCCCCAGCCGCCACTGCGTCGGTGGTTGAGTAATAGTGCGTGAGCCGGCGCCTCACGGCAGACGCACGCAGCGCCCCATCGGCAACGGACGTATTGCTGCTGCTGGTGCTTGCCCCCTCACTGCCGCTGCCGCTGTTGCGCCCGGAATGGCTGGTTCCGCCACTGTTGCCGCTCGCAGCACTCTCGATGGTCGCGTCGCTGCACGCGCACGCACTCTCAGAGGCGCGCTCGCCGGCGCTGCTGCGAGAACCGCCAGGCACGGCAGTGGGCGCCCCGCCCCGCTCTGGCTTGCCGAGTTCCGGATTGCGGCAACCGACGGCTGCGCACGGGGTGTTTGACGCCCTTGTCGGGGCTGTGCCTCTGGTGCCTGGCGCGCCCGCATCCTGGCGCTGCCCACGCCTGGGAGCTCCCGCAGGGCAGCCTGACATGCGGCCGGCGCCCAGTGCGCTGCTGCCACTGCTGCCGCCCTCATTGCCGGCCCCGCCGCTGCCGCTGGCTTCGTCGTCCTCCCCACTGTCGCAACTGCCATCGCCGCCGCCGCCCGAATCGCGGGCAGCGATATAGGTGTCCTCATCCAGTGTGTCAGGGAGTTGCACGCTAGTAGAGGCGCGGCCCCCCACATTGCCTGCCGGCGATCCCACTTCTACCATGTGCAAGGTGCCTGCCGCAGCGGTCTTGGACTTGAGCCTGCTGAGGCCGGCATCTGTATCCAGGCCAGCTCGGCCGCTCTCAGCCCGACCCCCACTGCGTTTTGACCCTGCTGTCCCACCATACAGGGACACTGATGGGGCAACCTCCTGCTGCTGCTGCTGCTGCTGCTGCTGCTCGTACCGGTGGCGCTGTGACTGCGCCGGCGGCCCAGGTGTCCGAGATGCAACATGGCCGGCCACTTGTGCCGCTGCCAGTGCAGTGTGGGGCTGCTCTTTGACATGCTGCTTGGCCTCCCGGTGCTCATGCGGAGAATTTTCCTCCCGATCCTGCACCTCCCGCAGACGGTCAACCCCCAACCGCTGCTGCTGTCTGTGCTGCAAGGGCGATGTGCCCGCCCGCCTCGCCCTCTCCTGCTGCTGCTGCTGCTGCTGCTGCTGCGCCTGGGCCGCCGGCGCCTGCGGCGCTGGCGCCGCTGCGGCGGCGGTAGCCTGCCCCGCTCCACCGCGCGGCGAGGCCTTTGCCTGCGTGTCCACGCCGCTGAGGCCCCCAACGTCGCGGTCCTGCTGCTGCTGTTGCGGCAGTGGCTGCCCCGCACCCGGGCCCTTGGGCGACGGTGCGTCCGCGCCGCACAGATCTGGGTTCAAGGGCGGCAATGCAAGCGATGGGGAGGGATGTGGGGGTCAGCGCGCCATGCCATGCGCTTGCTATGGATGAGGCAGCGCCAAGTTGTCGGCGCTGTCATGCAACCCTGGTGTCGCGCCCTGAATCACACCCCAGATTGCGTGGTCCCTGCCTCACTGCAGAGTAATAGAGCACGGCCCTCAACCGCGCACCCTGCAGCGCATCCAGCAGGTCCCCTGGCAGATCGAGCTGCCTGACGCGTGTGAGGACCAACTCCTTCAGCAGGCGGTGCTGGGCGTGCAGCTGACCGTGTTGCCTGCGGGCGCGGCGCAGCGAACGGTCGCGATGACAGTGTGCACCGACTTTGCTGTGTATCAATACAATGTGGATCCATTGCCACACATGCTCTTGGTCGGCTGTGTGCGACACACCCCTCACTTGATCAGGCTTGAGTGCTCTTCATTTGTGCGCGACAGCTGCCGTTCAAGCACCACCGCCGCCTCTCGCTGCGCCTCAAGTTTGATTGCCACTGTGGATGCGACCTGAGAAGTCCTGTAGAGCTCGGCCTGCAGTGTCCTCTGCAGGAGGAGCCGCGGGATGGCGAGTCAACAGCAAGCATCTCAATGCTGCGCCGGGCAATCTTTTCCCTGCTCTGCCCCTTTCATGCTCACAATAGTTGCATTAGCTTTGTCTATATAGGCGAGGAGCGTCGATCTTGGCACCTCACGCCCCGCCCCTGTGCTGGGCCTCTCCACACCAGAGCTGGGCCGCTCCATTTCTGTATTTCGGTGTAAGGGGTGAAGGCAACATAGTATTTATCGATCGACCGATGATCCCCCTAAACCGGTTAGGCCAGGTTCAGGTGATGTGACGCAGTGCCCCAGGCCGGTTCAAAAGCCTGGCCTTGGCTGCTGCTCACATGCCGCGCCTTGCGAATCCTTATTCATGCAGTAGACACGTCAGTACGAGCACGACAACAATGGTGTGATCTGCACTGCTATTTTGGCCGGACCATGTCCTGGTACAGGCAGTACGATACGAGCAGTCAATCCCAGGTGTTTGAAATGCGGCACCGCCATGCGCCGGCGCCGGTTTCGACGACCAACGCAGCGACGCCGGGAGCGATGAGCCCATCCCTGGTGCCCGCGAGGACGCCCATGCCGCCCTCGTCACCGCGCGCATCAATTGAGGAGCATCCCCAGGTGCCCCGACTTGCATCGCAGCTCATGCGCGGCGCACGATCGCCGCACGCCAGCCGTAGCCGGTCAGCCGGCGAGCCGGTCTTTGCCGATTCTGCGCTGGCCCGGCCGCCCTTGGTCGACGCCAACATGCCGAGTGGCGTCGCAGCAGCAGCAGCAGCAGCAGCAGCAGCAGCAGGGGCAACAGGAACGGCAGCATGTACTGTGAGCCCCGGCCGCTATGGGTGTGGCAGCAGCAACTTTTTGAGCAGCAGCAAAAGCGATAGCGGTGCAGTAGCGGCGAGGCGCTCGCCGAGCCCGTTCGCCCGCCTGCCACGCAGCGCTAGCAGCAGCACTGGTGGGGGCGGTGGTGCAAGGCGGCCGCCCACGCCGCCCAAGGCCCGTCCTCAGACGCCCCACCTGGCCCCTCGGGAGTCGGCCACCACCCCCGCAGCAGGCATGGTGCCTCGGGCCACAGGCTGCGTGGCCGAGCACCAGCTCGTCCCCGGGCCCTCCCAGCAGCCCCCACGGGCCGCCTCCCCACGTCGCCCAGCCGCAGCGGGGCCGCCCACCGGCCCCAGCCCAGGCGCGCCGCCCAGCAACGGCGCCCTCAGCCGCAGCGGCAGCAGCAGCAGCAGCAACAGCAGCGAGTCGCTCGGCGACCTGGAGCTGCTGCCGCTGCTGCAGCGGCTGCAGCGACAGCAGGACGAGATCGACCGCAACAACGCGCGCCTGCGGGCCGCGCCGCGCGGGCAGCCGCTGCCGCGCCCGCCGTCGCCGCGGCGCGCCGGCGCAGGCGCTGCGCTGACCAAGGATTGCTGGCCCAGCTGGGATAGGTGGTCGGGCGCGCCAGAGCCGCCGTCGCCGACGCCGCGCGGCGGCGGCGGCGGTGCCGTCGACACCGCACCGCCCGCAGCACGGCGGCCCGGCCCCGGTTCGCCCCTCGTGCCCGCTGCGCCGCTTGCCCCCCTGGCTGCTGCCGGTGGCGGTGGCGGCACCTCTCTCCTTGTGCACCCCGGCCTGTGGCTGGCCGGCGGCCTCGTCGTTGCCGGCGCGTCTGCCGGCGCGGTGGTTGCCGTACATGCAATCTTGGCCGTGGTGATCAAGTCCGCCGCGGCCTGGACCGCGGCGTGGACTGCCGCGGCCGGCGTGGCCGGCGGCCAGGGCCTGGCCGTCGGGACCTGGGCGTTCGCCGGCCGCGACCGCGCCGCCGCCGAGGCCGCGGAGGAGCGCGGCGCCCGCGCGCGCGACGCTGCCGCCGCGGCCGCGCGGCTGCACGCGCTGCAGGCCGCGCGGGAG